CCCGCGGGCTCAGGCAATCCACTCACCTCAGCCTCCCAAAGGCACGGGATTACAGGCTGAGCCACCGAGCCCGGCAACCATGCTTTTAATAAGTAATGATGTAGTAAAAAAGTTCATATTTCAATAAAAAAAAGTAGATATTATAGGTAAATACTTGGGCAAAGTAAAGATCATTAGTTAAAAACTGCTTTAAAGAAGCTTCTTCCAAAATTGTTTTGGTATGATACATTATAACAGCCATAATAAAATAGTATGCTACACAATAAAATATTTAAAAATTTTAAAAGTACTGTGTACATACAATTGAATGTTGTATTGCTTCTTTATTCTCTTAATCAACAGTTTTGCTTCTCCCACCTGTCAATTTCACCATTAAAGTTACCGGTTTAGCTCAAGTTCTTTTACATTGGGAACCAAATCCTGATAGAGAGCAAAGGAATGTTAATCTAGAATATCAAGTGAAAATAAATGCCCCACAAGAAGATGATGTGAGTATTTATTCTAATGGCAACCCTCACTGAGAGTAAGTATGTATTTTGACGCCATTTTCTGTTTCTTTCCTTTTTTTTTTTTTTTGAGTGAGGGTCTCACTTCACCCCCAGGTTGGCACATAGTGCCATGAGCACAGCTCACAGCAGCCTTGACCTCCTGAGCTGGGACTACAGGCATGTACCACCATGCCCAGCTAATTTTTTGATTTGTTGTAGATACAAGTTCTTGCTGTGTTGCCTAGGCTGGTCTCAACCTTCCGGGTTCAAGCAATCCTCCCTCTTTGGCCTCCCAAGATGCTGGGGTGATAGGCATAAGCCACCATGCCCAGCCTGACAGCATTTTCTTTCTCAAATGAAATTTTAAATAAAAACAAACAAACAAATGACTAAAGAACTTTTTTGTTATGTTATCAGTGAAGTAATATCTCTGTAGCAATGGCTGTGTACTAGTGCTGTGTGTTTTAGCCAGCATTAAACTAGCACAGAATATTATAACTTTGGGATGCTTTTTTTCCCCTTAAGAAAAATGTTCAGCAACTTTTTAGGGACAATGGATTAGATACTGGTCTTCGGTTTCCTCTGAAATGGCCAACATAACAAGAGAGAGTAACCTAGTAAAACAGGACAAGGGCAGGCAGGATGTAGAGTCAGAGAAACCAGGTTCAAATCCTAGTTCATGAACTTCCTGTCTTGGCAACCTGGGAAGAGTCATTTAACTTAGAGTCTCTGGTCTACTGCAGGGCTACATTAAAGCATCTGCTACATATTAGATGCCCAATTAAGTCAAACTAAGGAAGAAGTGATTCAGATGAATTGTTTTTCAGTAAATATGGAATTCTAGAGGATTTTCTGTCAAACATCGCAACTATGTTTGACTGGAGCTAGAGGTGGTAGCAAAAGGAAACTTGAAACTTAATTGTAATAGTTTGCTTTTGTTGAGAAAAATGTGTTTTTTGTTAAGAGGAATATGTTAAGAGGAATGTTTTTGCTAGGAGGAATGTGTTTATGTATCATTGAGAAATTGTGTTAATTTTACAATGGTTTTGTTTTTAATTTTTTTCTAGCAAAACTATATCATTGCATTTTATGTTATTTAAAAAGTGGAAAAAATTAATATTTGATTAAAATTATTCTCTCTTTTTTTTTGAGTTGGAGTTTCACTCTGTCACCCAGACTGGAGTGCAGTGGCATGCTCCCGGCCACCACAGCCTCAATCCGCTGGGCACAGGCGATCATCCTGCCTCAGCCTTCCAAGCACCTGGAACTACAGGCGCGTGCTACCACACCTGACTAATTTTTGATTTATTGTAGAGACGAGAGCTCGCCAAGTTGCCCGGGCTGGTCTTGAACCCACGGGCTCCGGCAATCCACTCGCCTCAGCCTCTCAAAGTGCTGGGATTACAGGTTGAGCCACCGAGCCTAGCCAAAATTATTCTCTTAAAGCTATTTCTCTTTTTCATATTATGACTTGTGGGTTTTATTTTTAGTATGAAACCAGAAATACTGAAAGCAAATGTGTAACCATCCTTCATAAAGGCTTTTCTGCGAGTGTGCGGACCATCCTGTGGAACGACCACTCACTCCTAGCCAGCAACTGGGTTTTTGCTGAACTTCAAGTTCCACAAGGTAAAGCAGACCTCAAAAAGTCCCCTTGTACTTTTCAAATATGGGAAAGTAGAAAAATTAACAATAACTTACTTTCCTTTAGTCGGTCACCAGTTCCCACCAACTGCTCTTCCATATCAACATCCTAACAAAAGCTGCTCCTAACTTCTTTTTATCATAACCCATCCAATTCTGTATGGCACATCCCTGCAAAATCATCCATTTCTATAATGGCCTTCAGTGAAAAGTTGGCGTTTCTGATAGTATCTGAATCAGTGATACTTATGATGAAACACCTAGGAGCGTATGTGCACGTGTGCATGCGCAAACACACACACACACACACACACACACACGCACGCACACGCACACGCACACACACACATACTGGGGGAAATAAAAGAGAAGTAGGCCACCAGGTCCTGGGATATATGGGCACACCTAATAACAATTGTCTTGGTCAATCTAGCCCATGGGTAATTTTCAAATGATTTTCTTGTCGCATCGTTGGATTAAAGGACCATGCCTCCTGAATTATGTTGGTGACTTAACACAGTATTGTAAAGATCTTCCCATTTACTCATAACTTGTTGCCTAGACCACATACCAGCCAATTCACAGGGGCTTGATCACAAATACAGAGACTAATCCAAGGTTTCAGCTTACATTTTCTTCAATTCTAATTCTTCTCCGAGCACTCCAATACAGGTTGACATTAATGAAAAGTTATTTATTTCTGATCTGAACCAAACAAAATTCACACCAAATAAGTCCTTGGATGGGAATTGTCAGACAAACAGTCTTTAGAAACTCTAAACTATACTTCGGCATGGACTTTCTGATAGTGCATGGAATGGTGTGTGTGTGTGTGTGTGTGTGTGTGTGTGTGTGTGTAGCGAGAGTGACAGAGACAGACATAAAATATACATACATAAGTATTTTATATCTATCTAGCTATCTGTCTATTTATCTATCTATGTATCTCAAAGCACACTGACTTTAGTCTTCTTTCTGTCTTTAACTTCTTTACAGGATTTTCCCCATCATCGTCTCTCTCTGCTCTTGAAAGACATTGGCTTATAGTGAAAAAATGATCTACAGATAACATAAACTAAGCTAAAAGGAGCCCCTTCCATCTTTCAAGGCTCCTACTTTGATGTGGTTCTCCCTGACCCCCAGCCCAAAGTGCTTTTTCCCTTCTCTGAGCAACCATAATCAAGGCCGGTGTTTCCCACAGTTTGTTCTGAAGAGTGACAAATCCTATGGTAAAAAAAAAAGGGGTTAGAATGAAAACAAGGTTTTCTAGGCTTTCTGGGTGAAACAAACATTAAAAAAGATTTTCTTTAAGTCATCATATATTAAAGAGGACTTTAACACACTAACATGTATCAAGTCTCCAAAACTCATTTCCTTCTGAGTAGCAACCTATGTTATTCATGAAACATTTATATGCAACTGAGTAAATCACACAATTCTAAACTGGAAAGGGTCATGAAAGACCTTCCTTGACCAATCTTATCCTTTACAGTTGGAAATACAGAGGCTTAACTTCCTGCTGCTAGTTACTGACAAATGTGGCCTTAGAACACCAAGGCTGCTGGACACCAACTTCTGGATGACAATGTATTGAACTGCTCTTGAACTTGCACCCCATATCTCACAAACACACCTCCCATGGTCCCAAACAAAGTGACTGGGAAGCACTTTGATGTGAGAACATGGGACTTTGTAATTCTAGTTTCATCCATCTTGTAAGTTGGCCTTTTGCAAGTAATAAGTGTCTATAAATATGTGCTGATGTTTACTTTTGGCAATGGATAAGATATTCACAATTGTAGTTCCAAAGAAAGCACAAAATTCAGAAGCTGTCACAGCAATATTTTGTTCCTTTTATTTTTACCACCTAGGATCTCCTGGAACCTCGATTGTAAACTTAACTTGCACTACAAACACTGTAGCAGATAATGGTATGCATTTAAGGCCATATCAAGTTTCTCTTCACTGCACCTGGCTTGTTGGCAAGGATGCCCCTGAGGATACACAGTATTTTCTCTACTATAGGTTAGTACTGTACCTATTGATACTTACACAAATGAGTTGTTTCCTCCAGCCTTATAATACTCATGAGTGTTCTACTTTAGGTATGGTTCTTGTACTGAAGAATGCCAAGACTACAACAAAGACTCACTGGAGAGAAATGTCGCATGCTGGTTTCCAAGGACTTTTATCCATAGCAAAGGACGTGACTGGCTCGCAGTGTATGTCAATGGCTCCAGCAAGCATGCTACCATCAAGCCCTTTGATCAGTTGTTTGCTCTTCATGCCATTGGTAAGGTAGACTTAACCCATACATACCTGAAATAACGAAAGGCAAAATCTCAGCATTGGAAGGGTTATGGAGATCACCTAGTTTGACTCCTTTTCTGATGCTAAGTAATCATGTGGCCCATGTTTGAAAATCACTGGAGTAGGGTTCTCAACCTCTACACTACTGATATTTTTGGCCGGTTAACTCTGTGTTATGAGGGTCTGTCCTTGTCCTTGGCATTGTAGGATGTTCAGTAGCATCCCGGGCCTCTATTCATTAGATGCCAGTAGTATCCCCCTCTTTGCCCTGGAGTTGTGACCAAAAATGTCTCAGACATTGTTAAATGTCCCTTAGGGGGTAAAATTTCCCCCAGTTGAGAATCACTGCAGCAGGAAAAGTGCACTCACTGCTTAAGAGAGCCCACTGAATCTTTCATTAGTTCTGACTGGTTTTGTGAGATTTCTGCCCGTGGGTCCTGTGACAGATTGGTACACAGTTCTGAGCCTTTTCTCCATAGGGTGGCCTCTCAGCTATTAAAAGGCAGCCAGGTTTCTCATCCTGAGACCCTTCTGCTCCAGCTAACTTTCTTCCTCTTCATTCCTCATATATTTATCCTATGACCCTGTACCATTCTAGCCCATCTCCTGGATATCCTCAACTTAGAATATATCTCTCAGCTTGTGACGCTTATTTCTAAACATATTATTCAAGGTTTCATCTACGTAGTTCTCAGTATAGAAGATGCTTTCCTTTCTCCTAGATACTTCTGTGACTGAAACTCATTGGGCATATTTCACATGGCATTCTTGGTTATGAACATTCAAGACTTCAGTGATAGGTAGTTATTATGGGCTGTGGGGTCAGACTTCTTGGATTCAGATCCTGGCTCCACTACTGTCTAGTTGAGTGACCCTGGACAAAGCCATTCCTCTGTGCCTAATCTTCTTATCTAAAAAATGAGGAGAAATTAATACTTCCTGTGAGGTGTTTGTGAGAATTATGTGTCACTAATGACAAAGTGCTTAGAACTGTGCCTGACAAAAGTGTTCAATAAATATGCTAAAATATTATTTAAAGGGCATGATGTAGCTATGACATATTATATCAAATGGAGTATATAACTTTGTTTAAAGAATCAAAGCCCTCACTAAAGAGGTTATGCAATTCTCTTCAATACTATATTTATTAGGTGGCCTAAAAATGTCACTTTCAAGAAAATAGGCATTAAAAGATGCTGAGGAAGACCTGAGAAATGATGCTATTAATATGAAAATGGATATGACCTGGTACAGACTACAGGAATTCATTTTCTTTTGTGATTTTCATTTTAGAAAGGCCAATTCCTAGGATTACAAAAAGAAATAAGTACTTTCTTGGTTAAGAATTTTCTGCTTAGGGAATGGCAAGCTCTAAAGTCAGTTGGACCCCATTCTTAATTTGTCCCTATAACTCATTATCTGTGAAATCTAACTCACATAACTTAAGACAAGGACACTCACTTAGAAATAATTTCCACTAGCCTCACATGGCCATAAGACAATCAGGTGAGATCTTGGGAGAAAGAACTTTAGAGTTATAAATAAAGACAAATTTAGCCCAATCCTTTCTTTTCATGCGAAATAAAACTGAAGCCTTCTGCTTCTTCCCCCAAACAAAACAAAGTAAAAAAAATAATGGACAAAACAAAAACAAAAAACTGAAACTCAGAAAGAAGAAGAAATTTGCCCAGAGCAAAAAGAGGCAGAGTTTTCTGGGAGCTCTGGAGAAAACATCTCTCCAATATCAGGTTTATCCTGGGCTTGCTCCAACTTGGGAAATGAAAAGTGATGGTGGTGCAAGTCTTGCAGTGAGCTGACCAGGGAAGGGATTCAACAATTCAACTCCATTTGGGGTAATAATCCTCGTACAGTAAGTGCCCTACATACGAACCTTAAAATTGTAAACTTTCAAAGATGCGAACGTGCATTTTTCAAGTGGGTAGATAGAATTGAATCCAGCAGGAGACCAGAACCTTTGCCATCAACATCAGGTGTGAGTGAAATTATGTCTCCTATTGCTGACGATCCTTCAGCTTTACCATTTCCCACATCCTTCCTTCTCCAGTCGGTAACTCTTCTTGCCTTTTCACTCAATGCCAGCCCCTGTATGCTCTACTACTGTACTCTAAGACTGTACTTTTCAAAGACTGACTGTAAGATTGAAAACATTTTATTTTTATGTTGTTTGTTTTATGTATTATTTGTATGAAAAGTGTTATAAACATATTACATACAGTATTTTATAGCTGATTGTGTTAGTTGTTGAACTTATGAACAAATTGGACATACAAATGCACTCTTGGAAGGGAACTCATTCAATATGCAGGGGAAGTGCTGCAGTGTATAGACCTCAGTCCTATAATATAGGAGTCTGATAGGAGTCCCCCAGCTTCCTGTGGCTTGAGATAAGTTAAGACCTGATGGTAAATACTTGAGAAAAGCATTTCTTAGAAATGCCTTGAGAAGTGTTGGTGGGTTGAAGTTATCATCCCTGATCACTGATTCCAAAGAAATATCACTGATTTCTCATTCTGTAACCTAGATCAAGTAAATCCTCCACTGAATGTCACAGCAGAGATTGAAGGAACTCGTCTCTCTATCCAATGGGAGAAACCAGTTTCTGCCTTTCCAATCCATTGCTTTGATTATGAAGTGAAAATATACAATACAAGAAATGGTTATTTTCAGGTAATTCCTCAGATTATTCCAATATTCAATGATAGACATTCATTTTAGAAACCTTTAACAATTACCTTCAGTGACTGCAATCAAGTTACAGTTTGGTACTAACAAGGTTAAAGTTACGTATACCCAGGTGTCATAGAAATAAACCAAATCTTACTGACCTTTTGTTTTAAAAAGACATACTTTTGGTTGAAATTAATACAAAGAATTAAATAAAAACTCATTGGTACTAGAGTTGATTACAATTTTAAGTGATACAGTTGCTATGAAAAAACAGTCTGATGAGTTCTCAAAAAATTAAAAATAGAATTCCTATGTGATCCAACAATTCCACTTCCGGGTATATACACAAAAAAATTGAAAGCAGAGATTCAAAGAGATGTTTGCATACACATGTTCATAGTAACATTATTCACAATAGCCAAAAGCTGGTTGCAACCTAAGTGCCCGCTGGATGAATAGATAAACAAAATGTAGCATATACATAGAATGGAATATTATTCAACATTTAAAAGGAAGGAAAGTCTGACATATGTTATAGCATGAATCAACCCTGAGTATATTATGCTAAGTGAAACAAACCAGTCACAAAAAGACAAATACTGTCTGAATCTATTTTTATGAATTTAGGTAGTCAAAGTCATAGAAACAGAAATTAGAATGGTGGTTACCAGGAGCTGGGGGAAGGCAAGAATGGGGAGCTACTCTTTAATGGGTACAGAGTTTCAGTTTTGCAAGATGACAAAAATGTTGGACATTGGTTGTACAACCTTGTGAATGTACTCAGCACTACTGACCTGTACACTTAAAAATGGTTAAGATGGTAAATTTTATGTAATATGTGTTTTACAACAGTTTAAAAAAAGCTTATCAACACTAATGGATAAAAATTTCAGTCTGGGTAGGTGGCTCACGTCTTTAGTTCCAACACTTTGGGACGCTGAGGCAGGAGGATTGATTGGGACCAGGAGTTCAAGGATGTAGTTAGCTATGATTGTGCCAATGTACTCCAGCCTAGATGACACAGTGAAATCCTCTCTCTCAAAACACACACACACACACACACACACACACACACACACACACACACACACACACACACAAACCAAAACAAAAGAAAAGGTATTGAGGTCAATCAACAATTTTTTGAGCATCAGTTATGTGCCAAGCTTTATTATGTTAGTTTATTCGAGCCTTACAATAACTGTTATGTAATTATCATTTCCATTTTACAGGAAAGTAAGACAGAAAAGATGAAGTAACTTGTCCAAAGTCACAAAGCTAGGGAAAAAAAAAAGTCAGGATTCAAACTTATGTCTTACTGATAGTAGACAAAGCAAATTCAATTTAATACAATTTGATTCAATGAATATTTAGACATTAGATTCTTTGTGAGAGGGGAAGATAAATAAGACTCTGTTTCTGCCATTGAGAGTCCACTCACCCAGCCTCGGAGTTGCCCTACCAGAGTAAAACCCCATCGAATTGGAAATAGGGGAGTGGGCAAAGCAGTCTGCTGGGGGTTCCACAGAGAGGATCTGAATGGAATCAGGAAGGAAAAAAGAGAAACCCGGCCGGTGAGAGAATAGGAGAAGGACTTTTTTAGCCAGGGCTTCCCAAAATACCTAGTGAAGGACTGTTGTGTTTGTTTAAAAACTTCAAATCCCCCATATGTTGGTGCTTTCATCAAATACAATAAAAATGATTTGCTAGAAAAATCAAATATAGCCAAAGATATGTAAAATATAAGTTCACAGATCATGTCCTTGGATGTCATGGTAATGTCATATTGCCATCAAAGCTTCTAAATTATAGACTCAGTTTCTGTTTTTACCTTATCACAGACCACTAATAAACAGTTTCTGACCAACACCATTTCAGAAAAAAGAGTAATTCCAAGCTTGATAAAACAGGGTTCCTTCAGCCAAGTGGCAAGTAATTCAGCAGGCCTGGACATAAGGACAACATCAGAAATCATAATTTTATATCCTACACTGCAACTTCTCTGAGTGGCTCTATAAGATTTTGTTTAAAAATTAAAGAACAGCTTCTCTCCTGAATTGTATCCCACATCTTTAAAATAAAAAACAAACAAACAAAATGTCTTCTTTCTTTAAATTCATGGCCACAGGCAATGGAAGCCACTGAAAGATTTTACATGACAGAGAAATATGCCGACATGTGCAGAGCAGAAGGATTTTGGTAGGAGTGTGAAAAAGCTTGATGTGGTTGGGGAGGAACAACATGGACATAGAAATATCAGTTAGCAGCTACTGCACCAATCCAAGCAAAAAATAGCAGCAATGGTCCTGAGGTATGGGTGAAGTGAGAAACATATATGTGGGGTAACATAAGATGCGGATGTCAAGGACACATCTCTGACACAGGGGATTACCTGGGTGGAGAGAAAAGGAAGAGGTCATTTGTGAGAAAACAGTTTCATTTCAACACTAGGCAATCTAGTGTTAGTCTAAGTTGCTGCAACAAACTAGCATTTAGAACATGTTTTTAGGCCGGACTTGGTGGCTCAATTTGTAATCCTGTGCTTTGGGCGGCTGAGGTGAGTGAATTGCCTGAGCCCGCCGGTTTGAAACCTGCCTGGGCAACTTGGCGAGACCTCATCTCTACAATAAATCAAAAAAATTAGCCAGGTGTGGTAGCACACGCCTGCATTTCCAGCTACTTGGAAGGCTGAGGTAGAAGGATCTCTGGAGTCCAGCAGGTCAAGGCTGTGGTGGCCAGGATGTGCCACTACACGCCAGTCTGGGCGACAGAGTGAGACTCCAACTCAAAAAAAAGGAACATTTTTTTGAATGAATCATCCAAAATTGACATTATTACGGGTCCAAAAAATGGGTTAAGTACTGGCAATTTTCATATGACAACATAATACATCCTTAAGCTTGGGCTTTATGATGGTAATTCCATTTAACTCAATAATCTGTAACTTAGGTGTTGCTATTCCTACTTTACAAGTGAGTAATCTGAGTTTAGAGAGGTCAAGGCACTTTCCCTGCAGTTAGTTGGAGGAAGAGCTAGGATTCAAAGCCTACTCATCCTAGATTCAAGGTCACAGCTCTTCCTGCTTCACTATGTGCTGCATCACCCCCTTATCCCCTGACTCCAGTTGTTTGAGATAGTCCTGTATGTCGAGGATATGCAAATTTTATTGTAAAGGGCCAGGCAGTAAATATTTTAGGCTTTGTGGGCCACACAGTTTCTGTCACAGTTACTCATTTCTGCCTTTGTAGAAAAAAGGCAGCCAAAGACAATGCCTAACCAATTGGGTGTGACTGTGTTCCTGTGAAACTTTATTTGTGGACACTGACATTTCAATTTCATATGATTTTCATGTATCATGAATTGTTCTTTTTATTTTCTTGACCTTTAAAATTATATGTTAACCATTTTTAGCTTGTATGCCATACAAAAGCAAGCAGCAGGCTGTAGTTTGCTGACATCTGCTGAATATGATGGAAACAATGCGATATTGTTTAGTAATATGACTACACGATGTGGAGGGACAAGGTGAGAGCATTATGCATTCTGGCATAGGACACCCCATTCTTTAGTCTGGAAACATCAGCTAGACCCAGGATCATCTAGATCTTACAATTAATCATTTTATATGTTTTGGTTATAAGATAGTTTTCCTCTGAAGGGTGACTGCCAACACATCCACACTGACACAGTCTAGAACAAACTAATCAATGTGTATCCTGTTGATTTTAAATTGCTTGCTGAACAGCGAGTCACTGTCTTACCTGCATAGACATGCATTCTGATAATTGGCAGAACTTAAATTATGTGTCTAGAGATTCTTAAAATGCTTTTCTCCCCATTTAGACAGAAAAAATGACGACCAATGCATTCATCTCAATAATTGATGATCTTTCTAAGTACTGCATTCAAGTAAGAGCAGCAGTGAGCTCTGTGTGCAGAGAAACAGGGCTCTGGAGTGAGTGGAGTCAACCTATTTATGTGGGTGAGTAGTTTGTGTTTATTTTTGGTTGTTGTTGTTTTGATGTGGAGTCTTACTTTGTCACCCAGGCTGGAGTGCAGTGGCATGCTCACAGCCTCTGCAACCTTGACCTGCTGGATTCAGGCGGTCCTTCTGCCTCAGCCTTCCAAGTAGCTGGAACTACAGGCATGCACCACCATGCCCAGATAATTTTTTGAATTATTGTAGAGATGTGGTCTTACCATGTTGCCTAGGCTTGACTCGAACCTGTGGGTTCAGGCAATCCTCTCGCCTCGGCCTCCCAAAGTGTTGGGATTATAGGCGTGAGCCACCGTGCCTGGCAGCTTGTGTTTACTTTAAAGCAGCAGCCCTACTCATTGTCAAAGCAGGTGACCCCAGAAAGTGTACACTTTTGCTGATGGGTTTTTAGATGATTTTACATATCTGCTGTGCCTCAACTTCTGTCAGTCTACTGCCTGTCCAACCAGAGATGGATTTCCATGAAGTCAATGAATTTTATTCATTTATTTATTTTGAGTCAGAGTCTCACTCTGTTGCCCGTGCTGGAGTGAAGTGGCATGCTCACAGCTACTGTAACCTCGACCTGCTGGGTTCAGGCTATCCTTCTGCCTTAGCCCTCCAGGTAGCTGGGACCACAGGCAAGTACCACCATGCCTGAGTGATTTTTTAATTTATTGTAGAGATCAGGTCTTGCCAAATTGGCCAGGCTGGTCTTGAACCCCTGGGCTCAGATAATTCTCTCACTTCCACCTCCCAAAGTGCCGGGATTATAGCACTGTGCCTGACTGAAGCCAGTGAAATTTAAGTGAAGTTAAACTTCTCATTAACATGAACTTTTGTAGGCCTGGTACCTATTTTTTTTCTCACATTTTCTGTTTCTACTTCTACCAATGTTTAACTTAAACTATTTTATTTTATTTATTTATTTATTTATTTTTTGAGTTGGAGTCTCACTCTGTTGCTCAGACTGGAGTGCAGTGGCCGCTCCCGGCCACCGCAGCCTTGACCTGCTGGGCTCCGGCGATCCTTCCGCCTCAGCCTTCCAAGTAGCTAGAACTACAGGTGCGCGCTACCACACCCAGCTCATTTTTGATTTATTGTAGAGATGAGGTCTCGCAAAGTTGCCCAGGCAGGTCTCTAACCTGTGGGCTCAGGCAATCCACTCGCCTCAGCCTCCCAAAGTGCAGGATTACAGTCTGAGCCAACGAGCCCAGAAAACTTTTATTTTAGGTAATTTTAGGTTCACATGCTGTTGTAAATAATAATAAAAAGAGATCTGGTGTCCGTTTCACCCAGTTTCCCCCAAGGATAACAGCCTACAAATCTATAGTACAATATTGCAACCAATGTTAATATTAACAATCCACAGATTCCATCTATTTCATATGTACTCACTTGCACACATGTGTTTGGTCCTCTGTGATGTTAGCACATGTTTTAGTTCATGTGTCTATCACTACAGTCAAGATACAAAGCAGTTTCATCACCACATCATGTTGCCATTTTATAAACACAACCCTTTCTCCCCCCTCTTCATCCCTGAACCCTGACAACTACTAGTCTGTTCTACAGCTCTGTAATTTTCTTATTCTTAATTTTTAATTTGTCCTTTTTTTTTTTTTTTTAGTCAGAGTCTTATTCTGTTGCCCAGACTGTAGTACAGTGGCACGATCATGGCTATCACAGCCTTGACCTGCTGGGCTCCAACGATCCTTCTGCCTCAGCCTTCTAAGTCGCTGGAACTACAGGCACATGCTACCACACCCAGCTAATTTTTTTTTTTAATTGTAGAGATGGGGTCTCGCCAAGTTGTCCAGGATGACCTCAAATCCCTGGACTCAGGCAATCCTTTTGCATCCGTCTCCCAAAATACTGGGATTACAGGCATGTGCCACTGTGCCCAGCTTGTTTATTTTTTAAAAGAGGATTCCAAAACTGAATAATCTTCAGAGCCTCCAAAATCTAGATCCGTCCCTGAAACTTCAGCATAACAGACATAGAGCATGAAAGGTCTGGGTGTCACCTGGGCTCTTGTATTGGTTCTGTTGCTGTTTGTATTTGTAAAAGTAACCAGTTGACTTGGAAAGTAAGATGAGCATCTTATCTGTTGGCGCGATCCAGGAAGGATAATGAAGAACCAATGGTAGGTCTGGATGAGGGGCCACATTCCCAGTCAGTCTCACTCTATGTCAGATAGTAATCCCATATCCAGGAGGTGTGACCTGACACCTCGTAGGTAGAACATTCACATCCTGTGTTTACTATTATCTGGGTGTCTTAGGCAAGTGAACATAGGCATTTAATGACAAGGGAACAGCTAAAAAACAACTAGTGTGTCTCATGTGTATGCCACAACCATGGATCCTGGGGAGATAGGCATACAAGGGGGGACTTCCCCCAAAATGGAATTTATTTATAAAAAATTGTGTATTTATTCTTACATGTTTAAACTTCAGTCACCTTCAAAGTACTCTCTATTTGATGCAATACACCTATTGAGACACTTTTTCCACTGCTCAAAAGTTTTTGAACTTGTCAATTTTGATGCCTTTTAGTACTTCTGCAATTTTTTGTTTCTCCTCTTCCACATCAGCAAAATGTTTCCCTTTGAGGCCTTTTTTTCAACAGGGAAACAAGAAGAAAATCATATTGGGCAAGATTGGGTTAATAGGGAAGGGGGGGTATGGGAATCAAACCTTTTTTGGTCAAAAGCTACTGAATGTTCAGCGTGGTGTGGGCAAGTGTGCTTGTAAATCACCCATCATGAAATGGGCAAATGCATTGTAAGAATCTCAAAAAAAAAAAGGTCGTTGAATGCAGCTTCTCACAATAACACTAACTGGTACACTGATGCCGATGGGTTCCTAGAACACTTACCTAGCAGGGCAAGCTTGTACTACGAGGCCTCCCCGCTAAAGATAATTCCGGGTTTTTGGAGGGTCCCCTTTGTATACATGTGGTTAAGTGTTGCAGTAGGTCTATAAGAGCACAGGGTGGGAAGAACACTGGAATCTCACATAGAAGGCCCAGGTTTAACACTCAGCCTTGGCTGGTATTGAATGTGCATCCTCAGACAAATTATATCTGTTTGTTTGGATTAGAGGGATAAAGGAGATAATACTCATTTTTCCCACCCCATGTGGTATTTGAAATAAGAAACAGCAGCACAGATAGCAGATCACATGTATTGGGCTGCCCTAAATGCTTTATATGCACTATCTTAGTTAACCTTATCAACAAGTATATTTTGCAGATGAGAAAATAAATTTGGGAAGTTTTGTTAATTTGCTTAACTCTGCAACACCAGGAAGTAGCAGAGATGGGGCTCAACTCCAGGGTGGCTAACTCAGCCACCTGACCTCTTAGCATTCTGGCATGGTGTGACAGGATTCTGCAAGCTGCAAAGTGCTGAGTACATTAAAGACTGATTTAAGAGACCTTGGTAGCTGACTTTGGGATTATGGCTAGTTAAGCATGTGAACATCATCTCTCATGGATCCTATTGGGTAGGTATTCAATGGTCATTTGAAGAATAGACTTAAGGAGTGTTTCTTTCAGGCAGACACATACTAAAAGTTCTATTTAACTCATTCACTTAGTCTGTGGGGTGTGGCTCCAGGAGATTCCAACACACAGCAAGTAGATTTCCATGTAAGACTGGGAAAGACAAGGAAAGGCCTGAGAAATGAAGAACTGTTCTGACTCTGCAAGAGGGCTGGCCATGCTAAGTTGCTGAGTTCCCAGAAGGAGAAGAGCACCCCCTAGAGTTGTGCAACATACAACCAGCACAGCTTAATGGGTTGACCCTGATGTCATTCAGAGGGTCTCAGAGCAGCAGCATGAGTCTTCCTGGGAGAGAGAACTGAAAGGAGCGGACCAAATTCACCTACTTCATAACTCTGTTGTGGCCAATCTTCCCCTCCCTCTCCTTTCTAGGTTGATATCCCAACCTTACTAAATTGACACAGCACTCACAGGACCTCTCCAACATTGCTTCATTTGGCCAGGTATGGTAGCTCATGACTAAAATCCCATCACTTTGAGAGGCCAAGGCAGGAGGATCGTTTGAACCCAAAAGTTCGAGATCAGCCTGGGCAACACAGTGCAACCTCATCTGTATAAAAAATTTAAAAATGTCCATGGTGATATGTGCCTGTGGTCCCAGCTATTCAGGAGTCAGAGATAGAAATCTGAGCTGAGGAGGCTGAGACTGTGGTGAGTTGAGAGCAACAGAGTGAGACCTCTACTCAAAAGAAAAAAAAATGCTTCATTTGCACAAACAAAATTCACTCTATTCCCCAAGAGGGAAACCAGTAGGGGAAACAGTGAGTCTCAGGGAATTTTTAACAAGGTTGCTCATTTTATCAAATGTCTATGGTAGAATTTTAATTTTTATTACTCTAATTCAGTAGATTTTTTTTAATGCTTTCTGTTCTCCAAGGGCACAAAACTCATTCGCCCCCAAATAGTAACATGTCTAAGTTTCTTCCCAACACTACTGCATATTCAATTTTAGAGAGTTTTTTTTTTTTAATGCTGTCCAAGGAACCTCAAACAAACATGATGGGGACCAAGATCAGAATCCTGACTAAGAGCTCAGCTACACTTTCTGAGTCTTTGACTTTTGAAGTTATAGTCAACGTGGACCAGAGAGAGTCTAGAACTTACAGGATGAGAAAGAAGCATTCAGTACATCAGGCGATCTGTGGCTAAAACTGTCTAGCTCTGTGACCTAAGTTAGGGATGGCAAAAGATAATATTCTGTGAGCCAAGTAATCAGAGGTTGCTTAGAGTGCAGTGTTGAGAAGGATTCTGAAGCTAAATTTAGTTATCAGAAGGAGTGGTGATCCACCCTGACCTAGTCAGTCACACCTAACCTCAGTTTCCTCACATGCAAAATGTGAGTACTGGGCTACAAGCCTGCTTCCAACTCTGCCATGACTTTCTCCGCCCTGCCCCACCCCATCACAAAAATGTTGACGATGAAATGGTGAAATTGGAAT